CTTCGAGCATCCATTTTTCAAGCCCTTTCTTTGTCTTCTATTAGGTTACTTATTGTACTTTGGTGCTCGGCCAAAACACGCAAAATGAACCTAATGGTTCATTATGTGCTCTGTCTGTTGCGTAGTGAAGCTGAAATATGAAATTTCTGGCGATTGAGTCGCTACGAATTAGCCTGAAATTGAATATTTCTGCGGCACGGGAGCAGCAGGCCGTGGGCCTGGTCTTTCTAATGTAGTTGCATCATGGGTAATGGCGTGTGAGTATTTAAGCTTGGGATTGCACGTGGGCAATCATTCTAGGCCGACACCACTCACTATATTTTTTTATTTTTGTTAATCGCCTCGTAGGATGGGCTGCAGAGCTTGGGCCTGGTTCCTACCCAGATTTCCTGTCATATTTTTTTCCCTACGGGTTTCTTTTCGGCAGGTTTTTTCTGGCCCCCGTCTAACCACTGTGTCTTGTTAGTGGTTGCCCAGCTCTCGTTTTTTTCCTAGTGTTATTGGAGGGACTTAGAAGATTGTGTTAGATTTCCATGGTTTTTTGTATTAGATTACTTATTGTACTCTGGTGCTCGGCCAAAACACGCAAAATAAACCTAATGGTTCATTATGTGCTCTGTCTGTTGCGTAGTGAAGCTGAAATTTTGATTTTTAACACTCCGTATTCTTTCTTACTCCATAGTAAGAGCATAATAAAAGCACGGACAAGCATACTTGAATCTCCGGGACTTGAATAAAGAGAATTTTAGAGGCCGCGGCGCCGAGTCCTTCTTCATAATACAGTAAGTGAACTAAAAAATAACTTTCCGTGTCTCAAAGCGCTCAGTACAGTCACATGCACACAATATTGCAAAAACAGATGTCGTTCGAGGTACAATATAATAAGAATATTAAGTTAACTATCGATAAACCAGAAAAATACCGCACCTGAATCATGAGAGAGCAACTCTGATCCCAAAGGAGGACACACTGGGCGAAGATGATTTGCTGCGGAGGAACGTTGACTGTGAAGGCCCAGCCGAGAGAGTCGAAACGGGCAAGGTGACGGTACACGCGAGAGGATATCGAAAGTTCAAGAAGAGGAGAAAGCAGCCACATTCGAGAGGAGGGTTGCACTATGGTAGATCAATGTTCCAAGGACAGAGTTCGACCAAGAGCGGCGGTGCAACATCTCTTCGTGGAAGGTCTGTCTAGAAAAACTCAAACGCGTAAGGTTTGTATGCAGTTGGAAGATCAAGGACGCCCCTCCTAAACGGTGATCTCGCCATTACAGCTTAGCAAAAATTCCAATTCATGAAGAAAAAGCTAGGCTATAAGTAACAGACATTTTGTTCTACGAAGAGAAGAATATGAAGTGCTATTTTGCTGAGCTAGGCGCGAAAATATAGGCATCAACTGTACATGTGACAGCTGGCATCTAATTGGCTGAGCGAAACAAATAGTGTGACAGGGGTCGCATGCCGGAAGTGACTCCTGAAAGGAAGTGAGCTGGTTCATTACTGGTAAAGGCGGGTTTATGGTTATCACATTAACTCTAATTTATCCTGTTGTATAAATTATCTTTAATAATCATTGTGAAGCTCATTGGCTCTCTTGGACTCATTTTATCAGATAATTTGGAGCAGTTCTCCCACAAGTATTATGAACTCGGCTTTTTATTCGTACAGTGTATAAGGAAGGCTTTTGCCTTAGGGTGAAGGGAAAGAAAAGATTTTTAAATTTTTGATTGAGTATTTTAAGCATATCAGCAGGTGCCCGGGTGTTAATTCGTCGAAAACAGTAATAACCAAGTGGTTTAAGAACCGGCTAGCAGGAGTTTGTCATTTTATTTCTCAGAAAAATATAAAAACCTGTTTAGCCAAGCCAGATGAGGCAAGTTTTTATATGTTGGTTTTAGTTAGATTATTCAAGGAAATTTTCACCCAGGAGTTTGTCTTTGATATTGCAAGTTTATATTACAAGAAAATACTTTACTTTACTTTAAATGTTCCTGCTCATATGTTTCTGTCCTCTTCGATTTATTAATTTAAATTTATCCTGTGGTATATGTATACAGTTGAACCTGTCCACAATGGCCACCTTGGTGACAGAAGAAAGCGGCGGTTTTAAAAAGGTGGCCATTGTAGAGAGGTGGCCGTTCGTGGAAGTTAGTCCTAATACAGGTGACAGAAATCAGTAAATATAAACGAAATGTATAATGTATCAGAACAAAAACTTAAAACTATATAAACTTAAAGCTTTATATGATTTATTTCATATATCATTAACACTATATAAACTTCGTGTTAAAGACATCTAACGTTTTAATTACCAGCTTTCAAATGAGGTGGCAAATTACTAAAAGCTTGCATTGTAGTATGAAATTGCAGCCTTTCTTTGCAGATTCTGTACGTACCTTAGGAATTAAACCTTTACGCATAGTGATGACTTGATAAAATAATTCCTAGACAAATCTGGAGCATTGTTATGGACATACTTAAATCTTCACGTAAACTCAAAGGTTGGATTATGTATACAGTCGAACCTCCACTAACGGGCACCTTTCCACAACGGCCACCTCTCTACAACGGCCACTTTTTTGGCGGACAGTCCATACATTGACTCTTGATGTTTAAACCTCCCTACAACGGCCACCTCTCTACAACGGCCACTTTCTTCTGTCCGTAAGGTGGCCGTTGTGGAGAGGTTTAACTGTAGTAGAACGTGCCTTCTGGGACACTTAGCTTTATTGGAATAACAGCTGATTGTGTGAGGCTATGTTCATATCACAGTCAAACGTCTTTAATAAGGACACCAAAGGGACAGAAACAAGTGTGCGCTTTACAGAAGTGTCCGTATTATAGAGGTGTCCGTAAGGATAGGTTAGACTGTTCAGTCCAACTACTCCTTACGGACACCTCTCTATTACGGACAGTTCGTTTGGTCCTAGAAATGCCAAAAATAATACATTCCTTACCTCTATAATACGGACACTTCTGTAAAGCCGACACTTGGTTAGTCCCTAGTGTCCGTATTAATCAAAAGAGGTTTAATTTGACTGTATATCGGATAGCTTTTGCGCCGGCACGCCGGAAACTTCACTACGCTTAACAACGTCAAATGATTAAGTTGCATAGCAGTTAAGTTTCAAATATTGCATATTCAGTTTTCTTAGGATGACAGAACAGATCGTTCTTGTTTGACCAATCCAAAAGGAATTTGAGTTCGTCATTTAACACTTAAAATAGCTGGTTTGCATTTGAGGCAGCGTGATAGAGGACCGTATAACCTGCGTGCATTAACTCATTGAAAGCTGTCAAACAATTAGGTACATCTGTGACAAACAATGAAAATACCAAAGGGCCCATAATAGAACCTTGATGAACTTTGGACACCATTTGCTGTGGAATGGACATATTACACCTCTTAGGAAAATAGCTGGTTATGATCAGTAATATAAACAGTCATCCGGTGATGTTCACCTTCACAAATCCCAAATACGTGCAGCTTATCAGGCCTATCTGAAAGTTATGTTATCAAATGACCGGTAGTGGAACTCTCTTACAAAGTAAATAAGCCATTCGGATTTGTGAGACGGTAATATATACCCTAAACACAAAACGCTAAACCTAAAATTTGCTACTACTGTTATACCAAATTTAGAGTATCCTGCCGCGATGTGGGTTCCAAACCACCAGGAGTAGATCGATACAATTGAAGAAGAACAGAAACGTTAAACAGGCGATGATCTATGATAACCGTTACGAATATAGAAGGAATTCATGTCCAGGTAGTTTTTTTGTCAAGGTAGTTGATGTAGATAGGTGTAGTTGCTATAGTTTTCTGTAGTTTTTGTAGTTGATATAGTTTGATCTAGTTGATATAATTCCTGTTGTTGGTGTAGTTTGGTGTAGTTGCAGTAGTTGCTGTAATTTCTGTATTTGGTGTAGTTTTCTTTAATTGGTCTAGTTTGGTGTAGTCGTTGTAGTTAAGTGTGAATGGTGTTGTTAGGTGTAGTTGGTGTAGTTTAATGTAGTTTCTGTAGCTAGTGTAGATGCTGTGTAGTTGCATGTGGTGTAATTGCTGTAGTTGGTGTTGTTGGTAGAGTTTCTGTAGTTGGTTTAGTTTGGTGCAGTTGCATTGCGTACACTTGTAGCTGCTGTAGTGTTGTGTACAAACTTCACCAAGCTGCACCAATTTTTTTCGTTTGGAGCAACTTTTTGCATTCTGAGCAATTTCTTGCTTTTTGCCAATTCTGAGTTATCGGAGCAGCTTTTAGCGTTTAAATTTGCCTTGCTTCCATGTTTCACAATTTTTAGTAGACAAGCCAATCAATCAATCATTTATTTTAACAGGTTACGTCAAAGAGCTAAAAAACTCGTTCAAAATGCAAACGTGTATAAATAAAATCTATAATAATTACAGCTATATAATATTATTCAATTTTAAAAACAACTCAATAAATATATACATATAAAAAACTTGGTAATAAAAACATAATATATAAAAAGCTAAAACCGACTAAAAAGCCACGTACTAAAAACGTGATTAGGAAAATTATAATACTCGTTCTGAAAACAGTTAAAAGCTACAATCGTGCACTATAAGACAGGTTCTAAAAAGCTACAGTCGTGCAATTTACTTCTGAAGTCATTAGCCTCTCTTGAAAGACGCACTTGAGAAGGCAAACTGTTCCATAACTTAGTTAATGAATAAGTGAAAGAATTCTTCTTAAATTTAAGATTAAAGTTAGGTAATTCCAAATTCACGCCCTCGCCTCTTAGCCTATACGGTGTATGCCTGTATTTAAAAAGGCTTCCAATATAAGTAGGCCCCGTACCATTTAAGCATTTAAAAAGAAGTATTAACGCCTGGTGAGCCGTAGTGAGCAGCTCGTCGTATGACATTGACTTGTTGTGCCCGATTAATGTTCTCAAAATATAACAGTTGCCATCTTCGAGACGTTTGCGTTGACCCGTACCTATGCCTACAAACAAAAGACTGCAGTATTCGAGATGAGG